GAGAAGTCTGTCTAAAGGCCTGGGAGAAAAGAATACCATCGGGAAGCAGAGGGCCAAGTTACACGACCGTAAAGCAAAGGAATGATGAGCCTTATATAGATTTCATATCCAGGTTGCAGGATGCTGTCCACAAGAATGTGGTGGACAATGGGGCAGGGGATAATCTTATTCTTCCATTAGCATTTGAGAACTTGAATACATCATGTCAAGCTGCCATACGCCCTTTCAAGGAACAGAGCACGCTGTTAGATTGTATCAGGCTGTGCAGGGATGTGGGACAGATGAGCACAGGGCCAACCTCATGGCTGCTGCTTTGGCAAATTACACCAGACCTAGAGGGAGATGCTTTACATGTGGCGCAGAGGGCCATTATCAGCGAGACTGCAGGCAGATATTGCAAAAGAACAGGGCAATTCACAGCGGAAAAGACCCAGGGAAAGAGTCCAAGGAAACTGGACTTTTTGGCCCTGCTGCGATAGAGGTAGACACTGGGCAGAACATTGTCATTCAAAGTTTAGCAATAGGGGACATTTACCTGGAAGTAATTCCCAGCCAAAAACCGTGTAGTGGGGCATGCTCCGAGCCCCTTTGAACTGAACGCAGGTAATAGCGGAAGGAGCTTGATCCAGTCCCTGCTCACAGAGCTCAGAAGGCAAAGCCTCTACCTAACCCAGCAAAAGACAGGTATCCCCCAACTTCACCGCAGGAGACCAGACCTAACCAAACTTGCAAAAGCCCAGCCTCTGTCCTCGCTGCATAAGTTTAATTAACCAAGTAAGGGCTCAGAAGCCCTCACAACAGTCTGTTGGTTCTAAAACGCAGGAGCCTCTTATTAAAAGAGGAATATAGTTTTTATCAGAAAGATTTATTAAGTGCTCAAAGAATTAATTCAAATTGATACTGAGTTGATCAGAGTTGTGAGGAAAAGCCAAAAGCTGTGATTAAATCAGAAATTATTAAGAGTGGTAATTGGGGTCTGCTACCTAAAAGAACCATGAGATGTTTATTAGGAAAGTCCAACCTAAATTCTCAAGGTGCTCAGACTGTTGTTGGAATTATTGATCAGGATTATGAAGAAATTAAGGCAGTGATGAAATCTGATATACCATGGTTTATTGCCGGAGACCAGCTCTGGCGTGTTCCTCACAGAAAGCTGAAGTTGGGTGAGTGGTCTTAAGAAAAAAGAGAATATAGAAAAGTAGGGTTCAGGAGGACCAAAGAAACATTCAGAAGCGTGAATATATGCAATGGCAATTTATTAAAAGCTGTGTTTTCTTATATACCCCATTTCTTGGCTCCTTCTGGGAAAACAACCAAGTCCAGACAAAAACATCTGCACTTTGCAGCCACGTCCTTGCAAGTCAAGATTAAGCAAAATAGTTTGTTCCAAAACATCTTAGCAGATCCAAGAAGCAAAGTCATTTTGCTAAATACAAAAGTTCATACAGCTCCCATAAGAACTTTTAACTAAGGGTGAAGTCCCACTCTTTATACCCTTTAGGCCGGTTAGGATAGGGTTTGCACCCTCTCCATTCCCTAAGACCATGGGGAAGAAATGGGAAATCACCCTACAGTTTATAAAAAAGGAAAATTGCTCAAGTCAATTTATGATTACCCTTTGCCTCCTAGTTCTTTCCTCTATTTCTTTGTACTTTCCTTTTGTCCCACTATCATATTTAGCCTTCATTTGGGTTTTAGGAATTCCTCTCGGTTACATTGCCCTTGATCCAGCCCTGTAAGGCCTCCCGCACCCTCCTTGACATTGATTTTGGATCACTTGTTGCTCCCTTGTCCCTGGGTTTGTTAACATCCACTTCCTTCCCCCTCCCTCCCCTGCTCCCATGTCTCCCCAGAACTGTCATCCCATTGTTCTCTCTTTTGGCTTGTTTATCCCCCCTATCCCTTCCAGGTAGACATGCTATGTATCATCACAAGACTGAGCACAACGAAGCAACAATAGAAAGTAAAACAATACCTACAACAACAACAACAACTCGAAAAACCCGTATAAATAGTTCAGGGTCTATTTGTTGTCCTTCATGAGTGCTTTCCAGTTGAGAGTCTGATGGGGTGCCATGCCCTGGCCCCACATCTATCCCTGAGGACTTCATTGCTCTGCTCTGCTGCATGCCTCCAGAGGCTGGCCTCAGCATAGTGAGCTCAGGGTGGGCACAATTCCCGCTGTGTGTCCCTAGTCTTGTTCCCCCGTGGTGCTATGGGTCAATGAGGAATGCTGTGTCCTATGGTGAGGCAGGTCCTGTGGTCATCTCTGTGCATTGCTGTTCTGAGCAGGAACATTGTCCTCAGGGCTTGATGAGCCAGGATGTGCTTCACTCTTTTTTTTCC